TTTAAATAAAATCAAAGTACAACAAAAATTTTTAAATAAAAGGTAAACAGAGGCTTGAATATATATTTTTATCTGTGAAGACACTGTTAAATTGTTTAGCAAGTGTATTCATCTTTAAATTATTTGGCAAGTATATTAACATTGAATGTACTAATATCACTTATTTGTCTCTGAAGATATAAATAATACAGATAATATGCAATTTCAAAATTTCTCAATTGTAACATGGGTGGTAAAATACCAGTCACGTAATACCAATTTAAATTGAATTTTTGTTATATACGACTATGTGTATCTTATACCATACCAATTTTGAGAACATAATGTTCCTTATTTCTAAGGATATTGACCAAAAACATAATATCATCTATTTACTTTTGAAGATATTTAACTATTATGTTATAAAAAAGACTAATCAGTAATCAAAATAAGTTACCAAATCAAAATTAAATGCTTGAGTGTATTGCATTACTCGACGCTTAGTTGACGAATAATTTCCGACACCGAATATTTGATAATTTTATTTATCTTAGAAGACACTGTTGAACTGTTAAGCAAATATATTAATATCATTTATTTGTCTTTGACGATATTATTGAATTGTTAAGCAAGATATTATATCACTTATTTGTCTTTGAAGATATCGTTCAATTATTAAATTGTTAAGTAAGATATTATATCACTTATCTGTCTTTGAAGATATCGTTCACTGATTAAAATAACATTAATATGATATATTGAATAAGTAAATATAATATTAATAAAATATATTAAATAAGTAAATAAGCAAATATCTTTAAATCTTAAAAAACTTAATTTATGTTTGAAGATATTATTTAAAAACATATAATATCTTTGAAGATATTCAACTTGGAGCACTAGATCAATAGATTTCATATCATGAATTTTTAATAAAGTTTTCCATTTGAAAGAATAATTGATTGATCAATAAATTTTGCTTAATGAGTTGGTAACCACCTCAAGACTATTATAATAATAAGATAATATTTAACTTCTATAATTAAATTAAGGATATAATATTGATCAATAGATTTTGCTTAAAGAGTTGATAACCAACTCAAGATTTTTAAGTACACAAAAATAATCATAACATAAACCATGTGTACCAATTCAAAACATATAAATATTAGTAAACAAATATAAACCACGTTTACCAAATCAAAACATAAACTATTATAAACTAACATAGGCTACGTGTATCAAGTCGAAATCTATAAATTAGTTTATCGTGTATAAGTTAATTGTCTTTGTAAATTTTTTACATTACGTGTACCAAGAATAGGCGAGACTTCATTAATCGGAGATTCGCCGAAATATTTATCCCAGAGGGCATGAAATTTTTTGGGAATGTTTTCATACTTGAACAATAAGTAAAATGAACAAACATTATCTTACCATAATCTACTGGTATTTTTTCTTTTATTGGTGTCTCTATAATTTTTTGACGAATTAAATTATGATTATTAAAATCTAACGGTTGATCAATATTAAATTTTGATAATACATGATTAAATTGTTCATCAATAATTCTATTTGGATATTTATTTAATAATAATGCTATTCGTAATTTTTCACGTTCATTCAAATAAACTTGAAAGGTTGAACAGTATCTAATAGTACGAAGACACATAGTAAAGATTATATTTTTCTTCATATGTAATGGATGTATACTATTGAACGGCAAGTAATATGGTTCATAAGACTGCTGTTGATAAACTGTCGTAAATACCTGACCATCTTGATTTTCCATATGTAAATCAAGAAAATCAGCAGTTGAACCAATATTTTCTGATAATTTAATATTTTCATCAAAGTGATTCCATCTATCGATTTGTTTTTAAATAAATATCGAGCAGGCCAATTAATTACTATAAATATGTCATCAATATATCTAAAATATAATTCACCGCTAGTATTAATTTGCTTTATAATTTGTTGTTCATAGAAGAACATATAACAATTAGCAACAGTTAATGTAAGAGGAGAACCCATTGCTCCTCCACGAATTTGATGATAATATTGACCATTATAAGAAAAATAATTATTTTGCATAACAAATCGATTTAATCTAATTATTGTTTCAATTTTGAGACCACCGACTTGTTTTAATTTTAAATGATCTAACATTTTCTTTAACGCCAGTACTCCTTCGGTTTGTGACACCATTGTATAAAGGTCTGCTACATCAATTGTACAAAATAAAGTTTCTTGACGCATATTATCTTTCGACCATTTTTGCAACTGTTTAACTAGTTCAAAATCAGAAGTTACTGTTGTATTTGAAGCCATTTTATCAAATAAAGGTAGAAGTAATTCGTCGAGAAATTTTGAAATTTTAACTGTTGGATGTTTAAGACCAGATATAATTGGACGAAGCGGAGTACCAGGCTTATGTGCTCTAGGTAAATAATATAAGTGAGCAAGTTCGACTTCACTTGGATTAATACATAATTTTTCATATTGTTTTTGAGTAATCCATTTGGCCAGTAGTAAATCTAATAAATATTTGTTAGTACGACAAATCAAATCAGGTAATGGATCGTCAAAACCCAAACATTAGTAGGCTTTTGTTTTATTCATATATTCTTCTGATTTTTTGCGACAATCTTCAAGTTTACCTAAGTGGAATAGTATATTTTTACCAGATTTTTGAAGGACAATATTCTTTAAATGAAGCTTATGTTTTAATCGCTTAATTAATCGTCTATAGTTTTTCTTTTTAATAATGATATTTCGAAGATTTATAACTTGGGATTGATTTGATTGTATCGTAGAGAATAGATTATCATATGTAATATTTTGATTTGCTATATCTTTCTGTTTCGAATAATCTATCAGGCTATTATGTAATTTCTGAAGCAGAACATCTAATTCGGCAATAAATTGCTCGACTGGGCAACCGGGGCTAATTTTCTTTTCAAAGAAACGAGCTTCAATCTTTCGTTTAAGAGTAGCCAACTCAGTTGTACGTCGTCGAGATGCCGTTTTTGGATCGTTATAGATAAACCAAGGACTTAATTTCAATAATTCATGTTCTTTCTCGGTTAATTGAATTTGTGCTTCATTAATTATGCCTGGAGCAAGAATTCCTCGTCCAGTGATCGAATAAGAATCGGGGCAATTAATTCTTCTTGTTAGTTTGTCTCATCCTCGACTCGTTGTTCGGATAAAAAAATAAATTGATTGTTCAGCTTCTAATTTCAATCGTTTTGGGTGTGGGTGTGAGTGGGGTGTCGGTTGGTGTGGGTGTGGGGTATGGGTGTGGGTGTGAGTGAGGTGTGGGCTGGTGTGGGTGGGCGGGTGTGGGTGTAGGTGTGGGAGTGAGTGCAGGCACAGAATACCTTTACACCCACACCCACCCCACACCCACCAGCACCCACATCCACCCACACCCACACCCACCCACACCCACACCCAACACCCCCACACCCACCCGCACCCACACCCACACACACCCACACACACCCACACCCAACACCCCCACACCCACCCCACACCCACCCGCACCCACATCCACCCACATCCACCCACACCCAACACCCCCACACCCACCCGCACCCACATCCACCCACACCCACACCCAACACCCCCACACCCACCCGCACCCACATCCACCCACACCCACACCCACAC